AGCAGAGAGAGAGAGAGAGAGAGAGAGAGAGATCTTCCATCCTCTGCTTCATTCCCCATTTGGCCACAATGGCCGGAGCTGACCTGATCCAAAGCCAGGAGCCAGGAGCCAGGAGCCAGGAGCCTCTTCTGGGTCTCCCACATGGGCGCAGGGATCCAAGCATCTCCTACTGCTTTCCCAGGCCATAGCAGAGAGCTAGATTGAAAGTGGAGCAGCCGGGACTCGAACCAGCGCCCATACGGGATGCCAGTATTTCAGGCCATGGCCTTAACCTGCTGTGCTACAGCGCTGGCCCCGCATTTTATTATTTTTAATCATTACGACTCTGAGGTTATTATCACTGCAGGGCCTAGCTTATCCTGACACAGGAACTGAAGTCAGGGTGGTAAAGTTAATTTCTCCAGTGCACACTGCTAAAGAGTGGGAGAACCAGGATTTGAACTCAGACACTGGCATGCAGCAGACCTAGTTAATGGCTCCCAAGTGGGACTTAAGGGGAAGAATCAAGAGCTCTTCCAAAAACTCTGAGTGTCGGGGCCGGCACCGTGGCTCACTAGGCTAATCCTCTGCCTGTGGCACTGGCATCCCATATGGGCACCGGGTTCTAGTCCCGGTTGGGGCGCCGGGTTCTAGTCCTGGTTGCTCCTCTTCCAGTCCAGCTCTCTGCTGTGGCCCAGGAGGGCAGTGGAGGATGGCCCAGGTCCTTGGGCCCTGCACCCACATGGGAGACCAGGAGGAAGCACCTGGCTCCTGGCTTCGGATCAGCACAGCGCCAGCCACAGTGGCCATTAGGGGAGTGAACCAATGGAAGGAAGACCTTTCTCTCTGTTTCTCTCTCTCTCACTGTCTATAACTTTACCTGTCAAATAAACTCCCAGAGTGTCTCTGGGAGCAGGATCCCAGAATGCTAGGTTGACAGGGACTTCATTATCTGGACTTATTAGGTTGAAAAATGACAGAAACTCAACTCAAACTCAACATATATATTTGATGAACACATGCATATATATGGGGGTTCATCTGTCGGAAGAATCTACAGGTAGAGGAGCAGGGGCTCAGACACTCTCCCTAGGGCCCTATCTGCCCATCACTTCACTCTGCTTTTATTTGTGTTGGCTTCCATCTCAGGCAGCTCCCCACTGTAGGAGACCAAAATTCCATCCTCCAGCTATAGCATCCCAGTGGGGACACATTTTTGTCCTTTCTGGCTCACAGGGGGCAGAAATTATGAGTGTGACTGTGGCTGTGCGGGAAATGGAAGCACAAACACCCAGTGTTTAGCTGATCAGAGCTGGCTGGGAGAGTTGAAACTCTTCCTCTTTCACGAGAGAGGGGGAGAATCCAAGCTCCTAAGGGCAGACCCAGCTGCAGAGGTCAGAGTCAAGGCTCTAGGACACAACACCCGAAGAAAGCATCACAGCCCGAGAGGCAGGGACCAGCCCCTGTGCAGCAAGGCAGGTGGGGGCGTGGACAGCAGCTGTGACTCCTGCCACGGCTCCTGTGTGTGGTGAACACCATTTAAGAGGCTGTCATATTAAGATCCTCTTTCTTTTATTTTTGAAAGACTTTTTTGCAAAAATTTTATTTGAAAGGTAGAGTTACTGGGTGGGGGGTGGGGAGAGGGGTTCCATCTGCTTGTTCACTTCCCAAATGGCCACAATGTCTGTGGCTGTGCCAGGCTGAGAACAGAAACTTCATTTATGTCTCCCAAGTGGATAGCAGGGGCCTAAGCACTTGAGCCTTTTGCTTTCTTCTGCTGCTTTCCCAAGCATATTAGCAGGGAGCTGGATTGGAAGTGGAGAGAGCAGGACTCCAACTGCCGTTTGTGTGAGATGTTGGTATCGCAGGCAGCAGCTTAACCCACTGTGCCACAACACCAGTCCACAGGCCCTTCTTTCTCAGGGCACCTTCTGGAAAGCTCTGGGACATGACCCTAATTCTGGGGAAGGGGATGTGTGACGAAGCTGAGCCAATCAGATTCTCTCTCCTGGGAATATGACACTGAACTCAGAAGACCGGTGGTGATCATTCTCACTTGTAACATTGTATTAAGCATCTACTATGTGCCTGACGCTATTCTAGGTGCTGGAGATCCAGATCAACCCACACCAACATACATGTTACAATGGACAAGCACACAATTGTGAGTATAAAGATACTCTCAGAATGTAACTGCTACAAAGGAAATACCAGACAGGAAATTGGATCAAGAGTGGCCAGGTGATCAGGGAAGACCTCATGCAGAAGAGTCGCTGACACAGGGTCCCCAGTGAGGACTTAGTCACCAGAACTGGGCAAAGGGATTTGTGGGCGATCCCAGCAATGAGCCTGAGTCCAGGCACATTTCTCCCCACCCCCACCTTCTGCCAATCAGGTAAACTGCTCCTGGGTGTGGCCCAGGCCCACCTGGAAAGCGACCTTCCAGATGATTGGAGAGGAATATTGACGCCAGTGTTGGTTCTGTCCTATAGTTAGTGTTTCCCTGAGTTAGTCACACCCTTTCTCCCTGCCCTTTAAAGCGTACGTGGCTGTGAATAAAGTCAGGCATGTTCACAGAAACTTGTCTTCCGTGCTCCTTGTGGGAAGGGCACTGTCGCCCTGCTCTCCCCGACAGTGTGGCTTTGCAGGACAAGCCACAGGGATTGCTGGATGGAAAGACAGAAAGTCTCCTGAGGTGGGAAAACCTGGCAGTGGGTAGGATTAGAAGGAAGGTGGATGTGGCTGGGGAGGGCGGGGGAAGTGCGCAAGAGGAGAATGATGCGAAACTGATCCAGGGAGGTAGGAGCTGGATGTTGCAGTCCCTCACTGGCCATAGCGGAAGGCTTGGCTTTCATTCTCTGTGGTCTGGTCACTTGGAGCTGCGTCCAGTTAAGGCCAGAATCCTGCGGATTCTCAAGAGAAGGGCAGTAAGCCCTTCGCAGCCCAAACGGGCAGCGTGCACAGTGTGTATTCCAGGGAAGGGGGGATATGGGTCAGGCATTTATGGAAGGGGCTTGCTCTGTGTCCTGGGAGGGAAGCTGCCCGATGCAGAGCAGAGGCACATGCAGAGGAGATGCCCCAGCCCTGGTTCCCCGCGGAGGCCATCTGATCCCCGTGTACTAGCGGCTGGCAAGCCGTGGACGACACTGGGCTTTCTGGCCCGGTGAGGACTGGACTGTCTGAAGGCCTGCGTGGTGGCCATGACCTGTGCTAAGGACTTTCCAAATCACTTGTCAGTGCTGCTGTCCAGCCGACTGGGACCAGGGGATCCCTCTCCCCATTTTGCAGATGGGGTAACAGAGGCTCCGAGGGGTCGCATGGCTGGCTTGAGTCACTCGGTTAGTCAGTTGTGGGAGAACCAGAGCATGAGTGTCACTGGCTCTGCATCTGGATCATGACTGTGGCTATAGGAGCAGGGCTGCGGAAGGTGGGAAGGAGGCGCAGCCGCACTCCATGGGGTTCCCCGGGGCCAAGCTTCTCCCCTACCCTGATCCACAGTGTCAGTTACTCGCAGGCAACTGCAGTCCAAAAATATTAAGAGAGAAAGTCCAGAAATAAATAATTCACGTCTTTTAAATTGCACGGCACTCTGAGCAGCCTTCGTTCAGGGAGGTGAGCCGTCCTCCCTGCCCAGTGCGTAGCAGCAGTCAGGTGGTCAGGTCAGCTCCCGTGGGGTTGCAGTGTTCGTGTTCAAGTGACCTCGATTTTGCCACACAGTGGCCCCCAAACTCAGGAGTAGAAATGCTGAAATCAAGTATGCCGAAGAGAAGCTGGACGTGCTTCCTTCAAGTGGCAAGATCCAGGTTCTTGACAACAGGGAAAAACACAGCTTCTAAAAGGTTAGGCACTGTCCATGGTCACAGGTACTCAGTATATAGAGGGGTCAGTACTCTTCGTGGTTACAGGTACTCAGCATACACAGGGCTCAGTACTCTCCAGGGTCACAGGTGTCAACACACTCAGGGTTCAGTACTGTCCATGGTTACAGGTACTCAGCATACACAGGGCTCAGTACTCTCCAGGGTCACAGGTGCCCAGCATACACAGGGCTCAGTACTCTCCGTGGTCACAGGTACTCAGCATATACAGGGTTCAGTACTCTCCAGGGTCACAGGTGTCAACACACTCAGGGTTCAGTACTGTCCATGGTCACAGGTACTCAGCATATACAGGGTTCAGTACTCTCCAGAGTCATAGGTACTCAGCACACACAGGGCTCAGTACTCTCTATGGTCACAGGTACTCAGCATACACAGGGCTCAGTACTCTCCAGGGTCACAGGTACTCAGCATACACAGGGCTCAGTACTCTCCATGGTCACAGGTACTCAGCATACACAGGGCTCAGTACTCTCCATGGTCACAGGTACTCAGCATACACAGGGCTCAGTACTCTCCATGGCCACAGGTGTCAGCATACACAGGGCTCAGTACTCTCCAGGGTCACAGGTGTCAACATACTCAGGATTCAGGACTCTCCATGATCACAGGTGTCAACATACTCGGGGTTCAGGACTCTCCATGGTCACAGGTTCTCAGCATATACAGGGTTCAGTACTCTCCATGGTCACAGGTACTTAGCATATACAGGGCTCAGTACTCTCCAGGGTCACAGGTACTTAGCATACACAGGGCTCAGTACTCTCCAGGGTCACAGGTACTCAGCATACACAGGGTTCAGTACTCTCCAAGGTCACAGGTACTCAGCATACACAGGGCTCAGTACTCTCTGTGGTCACAGGTACTCAGCACACACAGGGCTCAGTACTCTCCATGGTCACAGGTACTCAGCATACACAGGGCTCAGTACTCTCCAGGGTCACAGGTACTCAGCATACACAGGGCTCAGTACTCTCCAGGGTCACAGGTACTCAGCATACACAGGGTTCAGTACTCTCCATGGTCACAGGTACTTAGCATATACAGGGCTCAGTACTCTCCAGGGTCACAGGTACTCAGCATACACAGGGTTCAGTACTCTCCAAGGTCACAGGTACTCAGCATACACAGGGCTCAGTACTCTCTGTGGTCACAGGTACTCAGCACACATAGGGCTCAGTACTCTCCATGGTCACAGGTACTCAGGATACACAGGGCTCAGTACTCTCCAGGGTCACAGGTACTCAGCATACACAGGGCTCAGTACCCCCCAGGGTCACAGGTACTCAGCATACACAGGGTTCAGTACTCTCCATGGTTACAGGTACTCAGTATATAGAGGGGTCAGTACTCATCATGGTTACAGGTATTCAGCATACACAGGGTTCAGTACTCTCCAGAGTCACAGGTGTCAACATACTCAGGGTTCAGTACTGTGCATGGTCACAGGTACCCAGCATATACAGGTACTATCAGTGGTTACAAGTACCCACTAGACTAAGTGGGGACGACTTCCTTTCTTTCGAGCTCCTGCGGATGCCACAGTTCTCTGTCTCGCCTGTTGCTCCTCCTCCCTCTCCGTCCAGTACCTGTGGAGCCAAGCAAGAGCATGTGAAATGCATGGCGATGGGTGCAATGGCCACCACTTCTTTCTGCTGGGGTCCCTGAGGCCCTGGCTGTGACTCTAGAGCCCAGTGCGTGGAAGGCTTGGGCTGGTGGACAATTGGGGTGAGGACGAGTGAGTCCAGTCAGTTTGCACCTGCACAGGGCCACATTTCCTAAAGCCAGGGGGTGTCCTTTACTTGCTTTTGAAAAACAAAGTGGCTCATATGTAGAACCTGAAGACTCTTATTTTAAGAAGAAACTATCTATCATTAATAGAAAATGGCTTTTACTTGTTGTAGCAATATACTTTGAAAAATATTAAAATGCCTAACAATTGAGATGATTTGTGGACTCAGTGCGGTATACGTTCTGCATTTCAGCAAGCACCAGCATAGTCTAAGAGGACCTGTTGGATGTCTGGCAATTATGTTCTGCTTCAAGCTCTTCTACTAGCACAAGAATCATCCTTCATAGTTCTCGAGCGTGTATTATGAGTCAAGTACTGGCTTAAATACTTTCTTAAAAAATATTTATTTATTTGAAAGGCAGAGTTACAGAGAGGCAGAGAGAGAGAGAGGTCTTCCACTGGCTGGTCATTCCCCAGATGGCTGCAACGGGCCAGAACTGCACCAATCCAAAGCCAGGAGCCAGGAGCAATGGGCCAGGAGCTTCTTCTGGGTCTCCCATGTGGGTTCTGGGCCCAAGCACTTGGGCCATCTTCTGCTGCTTTCCCAGGCCATAAGCATGGAGCTGGATTGGAAGTGGAGCAGCCCAGGACTCGAACCAGGTCCCATATGGGACTCCTGCACCACAGGCAGTGGCTTTACCCTTAAACACTTTTAAGGGTTAAGGTTTAAATACTTTCTGTGAGTCCTTTCTGTTAATCTTCCTGTTTTAGTTTGGAAATACAAGAACCATATTAGCCCTGAGATAAACATTGAATAAGGGATATTTCCTAAGTGAATGGTCAACGACAGGGAGTGGTTTGGTCTTAGGGATTTAGTGAGGAAGGTACTCATGCACTCGAGTTATAGTAAAACATGTCTTCATTAGTCAGGCATCTTTTGATTGTGATGGAGACCCAAGTCAACATGCCTGCATCTAAAGGAATGTATTGCTTCCGTTAAAAGATTCTAAGAGTTGCTTCAGGCAAGGCTGCATCTGGTTGTCAGAGAACACATTTCTCATCTCTGCTGTTGGTCTTCTGGATTCTCCACAATGCAGGCTCTCCCCACGTGGTGGCTCCATACTGTATCATGCACCGTTACTCACTGCAGGAGGAGGAGTGAACCTCTTTCCCAAGCTGCCTTCGAAAGCCCTTGGGAAGGCTCTCATTGGCCCAGTTTAAGTCATGTGCCTAAATCTGCTGCTATTGCCTTGCCAGGAAACCCAGGGCTGATTGGCTGCGTGTGGCCCCAAGGGTACATCCCTGGATGCCAAGGAGGGGGGGGGGAGTCAGTTCCATCTGGACACCATGGACAGAGTTCAGGAGACAGAGACCTACCTAGAAGAGACGCTGGCTAGCGGATAATGCCCAGTGCTACCTGTGTGCAAGGCAGGTTTGCTCTACAGGTCAGGGGAGAAATGCAGAAGACAGCAACGACACGCAAATGTGCTGACTGTTCGGGAGGAGGTTCCCGCGGGTAGCCCAGAATGCAATCAACTGGCTGCTTTTGCCAACTCCAGCACCTGTCATATTTCATCCTCCTTTAAATAACTTCAAGGATATGAAAGTCATAAAACCAAGCCCAGGTAGGGGCAGAAGTCATGGGCTCTTCTAGGTGTGGGGCTGTCACTTTGGGGCACCTTACCCTACTGGCCTCGGCAGGGCTGAGCACAGCCCCAGGACGTGGTATGCAAATGAGGCCCCTGGGTCTGAGTGGAAGTAAATCACAGCTGCTTGCTTGCCGAACCCCGGGGCATTGTCAAAATCAAAAAGCGGGGTGAGAGGATCTTCTGCATCCGTGGTAGGTGTGTCTGACCCCACAGCAGCTGAAGTTGGCACTCGGCACAAACAGATGCCCTTGTTGTGCCAGGAGGAGTACTTTAATGAACGCCACAGGGCTCGCCGACTGCCGTTAATGAGTGAGGAACCAGGTTCCTGCAGGAGCCTCTGCCTATCTTTAGAAAGCAGCGGGGTGATGGAGAGATGGAGGGTGACAGAGCTGGAGCTGGAGCTGAGCGCAGGTCTGCAGACCAGACCACCTGTCCATCCCACCGCGGGTGTCCTCTGGAGTGAACACTTCAGAAGTGCACCCGAACCCCTGGCCGCTCTGTTCGTGCCCTCCGCAGTCGAGAGGGGCAGTGAAACCCAGATGGACTGGCTTCCGTAAAGAGTCGCAGCAGCAAGAGTCGGAAGAAGGAAACTCGAGAGAGACATCTTAGTCCATCGGGGGCTCCGCACCTGCTGCTGGTGTAGGGAGACTGCTGGATGGTAAAAGGCCCGTTCTTGCCAGCGTACATTCCATGGCGTGTGTGTGTGTGTGTCTATGTGTGTGTGCGTGTGTCTGTGCACCAGTGCCACCCCCTGCCCCCAGGCTCACAGTCCCAATCAGGACTGGGGAAGCATCTCACTGTCGACATCACTGGCCCACACTCCTGACATCAGTTGGACACCCCGAGCAGTAAACAATAACTGAAGCTGATTTGTTTGCTTCTAGAATTGGGAATGCTCGCTGTGTTGGCTTATTAAAATTAACAACAGGGAAAAGAGCGATCTACTAACCACACGTAACAAATGACACAAAATGTGCTTCAGTTTTGTTTTAGAAGCGCAAGGGCGACAGAGACCGATAGAAGAAGAAATACACAGACACACACTTAAAATAGGTGAGGAATTGCAGAGTCAGGGATGGAGGCAGGGCCATCACCAGGCACTGTGTGCTGCGAGGGGCAAAGGGCTTTGCACTGAACATTTTACTGAGGCATCCCTAACCCAGTGGGCAAGGCTCTGCTCATATTCCCTGGCCCACACAAGGACAGAGGCCTGGGGAAGTAAGATGCTCAAGACCACGCTGTTCCAAGTAGCGGGGCTGCACTCTGACCTCAGGTAGCTCGACTCCAAGACCTCTGCTCTCCACCTGCTCTGGGCCACTCGGGTGTTTTGCATATTGTTATCTGAAGGATTATGTCTTCGTGTGTCTGCGTGCATGAGAGCCCATCGTTTATTTAGGTGTGTACCAGAGAGAGAGAAAAGGAGAGAGAGCAGGAGCGAGTGAGCTCTCATCTCCTGGTTCATTCCCCAAAATGTTCACAATAGCTGGGTCTGGGCCCAACTGAAGCCAGGAGCCAGGAACTCCATTCAGACTCCCATGTGGGTGGCAGGGACCCAAGCACTTGAACCATCACCTGCTGCCTTCTGGGTTGTTCACTAGCAGGAAGCTGGAATCAAAACCCATCAGTCCTCAAAGCCCAGGCACTCTGATATGGGATATGGGCATTTCAATTGGTGGTTTTACCTGCTGGGTTAAATGCCAACTCCTATCATTTGTTCTGAGCGAGCAATGTATTGCAAGTACAAGGGTACTTCAAAAAGTTCATGGAAAATGGGTGTTAAGAAAAGGTGTCTGGAGGCCGTTATGCTTAGTGAAATAAGCCAGTCCCCAAAAGACAAATATCATATGTTTTCCCTGATTGCAGTAACCAACATTCAGAGAACAAAAAATGTAATGTATATTATCAGTGCAGTTGATGTTTTGAGGTTTGATTACTGTGTATAGCCTCTGTCTATACTCCTGAAGGTTAGTAAATTTTTTTACTCACTTGTTGAATTCTTGACTTGGTGGAGGGTGAAGCTAGTGATGATAAAGTAAATTGAAAGTATGTTATTATAAAAATTAGAAGGAAAAGAGGAAGGAGGGTGGGGGCGGGTGGTAGGGTGGGAAGCATTATTATGCTCTGAAAACTGTATTATGAAATACATGAAATTTATACTCTTTATATACATTTTAAAAGTTTTTAAAAACTGTATGGATTTCAAAGTGTTTTGCACCAAAATAAATTCACCTTCTAATTCCATTTTCCATAAACGCTTTGGAGTACCCTTCCAGCACAGAAATCAGAAGTGTGAGATTACAGGGAGAAATCCATGCCCACCACCTTGCCTGCCTATGCGTCCTGTGAGCGTGGTCCCTGGCCACACCTGTGCCGCCGGTGCCACAGCTTTTCCAGTTCCTCCACCGCTCTCCCTCAGGGGGTCTCGGGGAGCCTGTGCCCCTCCTGTCAGCACCACACTCTTCTCCCAGTCCTGGCAGCCTGTCCCAGCCCTGCTTTGCCCCCAGGGTGTGGCCCAGCACCACATGGGAGTCCTGGGTGGATGAGACAGCCAGCAGTGTTCCTGGGCAGGGACAGCGGTGGGGTGGGGGGCTGGTGTGTCTTTCATTCCTTTATAATAGTTGTGGGTCCCTTTATAGCAAAGAAAACGAGCTCTGGGTTGCAGGGCCTCCCACCACCACCATCTAACTGGAATTGAACAGCACTAGAACATACAGACCTGCATTTTAATGATTGTCTCTCTTGTTTGTGGCAGGCAATGCTGGTTATTCCATATAATAAGTGCAACAAAGTTCTCTTTTGAAACGTTTTTTGGAAAAAAAAAAAACGAAGTTAAAAGAAGAATCCCACGTAAATCACCACGGAGATGGACCAAAGAAAAGTCAAGACTGGGACATGGGGAGGCCAGTGGTCAAAGTGCAGAAGCAGTGCCTTGGACTTGGCCGTCAGAGCCAGGTGCAGGCAGCTTCTTGTTTGTGAGGCTGTGCTTAACCCCTTTCCCTGCGGCCTTCGCCTCCCCCCATGCTGGGTTGCTCATCACCACCCAGTGTCCTTTGGCTGAGTCCGGGTTTTCATCCCTGTCCGGAGAGCGCTCAGCTCTTTCAGTCCTGATGCAAACCATGAGGTTTGGGGTCTTTCCTTTTGGTCACTCTCTTCTGGATAAAATCATCGTGACACTGTTTATCTGCAATCCGGGACTTCAGCTGGAGTTCCTGTGGTCTTGTAAGTCGCTGTTATCAATGTATCATAAGACTGCGTGTGTGTGTGTGTGTGTGTGTGAGAGAGAGAGAGAGAGAGAGAGAGAGAGAGGAGAGAAAGGCAGAGAGAGACTCATTCCTCGATTAAAAAAAAAAGTGCTCTGCTGCAGGGGGCTCCAATCGAAAAGGAAACAAAGTTGCTAAAGATCGACAAGGCCGCTTTGTTCGAGTTTCGAGTTTGCCGCACTTCCGCATCCCAGCAACTCAGCGTTTCCAACAATCCAAGATGGCCCCTGGGGGAGGTACCTAGCCTGACCGGAGACCTCTGTACTGGTGAACAGTATGTATCCTTGGCTGTGATTGGCCCTTGAGGGCGTGCCCAGCTCGTGTCCTGCCTTACCTTTCTGCTGGTTGGCTCAGTTCCCTTGTGCCCTGGACAGCCCCCTTTCTGTGTCTATATAAGCTTTTCCCCCTCCCAATAAAGTCGAGAACCCGGGCACCCTGGGCGTTGACTGATCTCCCTGCCCTGGTGTGGTTCCTTTGCCGCCGACACTCATCATCCCGCTCGGCCCCTGAGCTCCCCAGGCTGGCCCTGAGGAGCTCCATCGGACCTGCTGCCCCGTGACGAGCAGCACTCTGCTGTGGTTTGGGTATTAGTTTGGATGCTGAGTGTCCCTAGAGGCCCATGTATTAGAGGTATGGTCCCCACACTCTTATGTGAATGGCACCAAGTGTGGGGGGGAACTTCATCTGATTATGCTGTTGAGAGGGGGGGCCTTTGGGTGCTAGAGTGGGGCCCTGTGGTTAAATCCTGGAGCTTTATAGAGATTATGGGGACACAGAAGACGAGCATGGTCCCTCGACCTTGTGATGCTCTGTACCACCTCACAACTCAGCCAACAAGAATGCCATCACCAGGTGCCCAACGGATGAGGCCAGATCTTGCACTATCAACCTACAGAACCCTGAGCCCAAATGCATCCGACTGTGTTTCATAAGAAATATATTTTGGGCATTATTGTGTAGTGATGAAAACTGACTAATGCATCATATTGTACAAATTGCTTTCTAACCACTTTCCCTCCATTGAGTCACAGTCATAGACATCTTTGCAAAGAAATAAATTTACACCTGCTTTACTTTTGCTTGTGGCTGCTTGCTTACTACTCTAGTGAATGGATGTGCCATGACTCACTCCAAGACGTCCCCAACTACAAAGCACTCTGTAAGGAACTCCCGGGCAAGCTGGAATGTCCGACAGTCATTACGTCTTGGAGGAGTTTCCCTGTGCTCATTTTTGGTGTGCAATCGGCCAGTATTTAGGGGACGCCCCCTTTTGTGCCCGGCACTGTTGGGCGAGCTGGAGATGGTCATACAGATACACAGCTACAGTCCTGGTGCTGGGGGTACTCACAGAGACAAGTGAGCAGGGTCCTGAGAGCCGGGAGGGCAGCTGGCTACTTCTGCCACTGGAGGGTTGAGGATGGCTTCCCACGGGCAGGATCTCTAACTCCAGGCTTTGAAGAAGCAGCTCGAGCCTGGTTTAGCACTGAACTGAGCACCTCACCAAACCCAAGACCAAACTCACTGCTAATCTACTCGATCCCCTGAAAGGTGCCAGACCCAGGGTCACGACTTTGCACAGAACACAGAGCCATCTTTTCCCCCTTCTTGGACTCCGTGGCTCTGACTTTCTGGTGATCAGGGGTCTTAGGCACAAACTGAAGTCTGGGGAGTGTGGAGGAAGTTACTGAGCCCCCGTCACAGCCAACTGATATGGGCTTCCCCCTCCGAGACCGCTGACTCCGTGCAGCCCGCCTCCTCGCCCCGCAACGTCCATGCGACCAGCTCTGGCCAGCTGGAATGACTGACACCCACTTATTACTCCTGGCTGCCCCTGCCTGGCCCCTCTCGAGGCTTTTATTAGCCCCTCACTGGGCATGTGGGCTTGAACAACACCTCTCCTGGAGCCAGCCTCAAGAGGATGCTTCCACACATGAAACCACAGGCACATTTATTGTTTTTGAAAGAAAGGAAAAACAAGCTCATAATTGACATCAAAGTGGAATATGCCTCTGGTTTGGCCACAGTGTATCTTTTCTGCAAGGCGGGAGACAGTTCCACCACGTGGGAGACCCTGTTTCTGATGAAGAGCTAGTCCTGCAGCTATGACTGGCTCCTGGAGGACTCCCTCGCCCCAGCAACCATTTGTTACAGTGCCCACCCAAGTGCTCCTGGAAAATGTCCTTGTAAATTGACATCTCATTGGGGCCCAACGCGCTTAAAACCCTGGAACAGCGTTGCAAGCCCCTGCCTCTCCTAATGCAATAATACTTGCCGAGAAAAAAAACATCAGCCACGAGCCCCAGCCTTGCCGAGGAGAGAAGTCAGATGGAGGTGGTTTTCAGCAAATTGACAAACTGAGCTAAACTTTATTTAATTTCATTTCAAAAAAGGATGGATCTGGAAATAGCACTGCTGGTTTCACGTGTTGGAAAATCAATGCTATGATTTTTTATCTTCCTCTCTACTCCCTTGCCAGGGGCTGGTATAATAAGTCATTTGGACTGGCCAAGCCAACAACCAGCTCCTGCCGCTTACCTGGTTTATCATCACCACTCCCAGGGGCTCCAGTGACAGGCAGGCCTGAGGACTCCAGCTTGCGCCCCAGCCAGAAGCTGGGTGTTTTCCTGCAAGGAAATATTAAGAGGAGCTGGAGTTGTGGCATAGCTACTTAAGCCACTGCCCAAGACACGAGCATCCCACATTGGAGCTCTCGTGGTGCAGGTTCCTGACTGCTCCACTCCCCTCCTGCTGCCTGCTAATGCACCTGAGAAAGCAGCAGAGGGTGGCCCAGGTGTGTGGCCCCTCCCACCCATGTGGCAGACCTGGATGGATTCTTGGCTCCAGGCTTCAGTCCGCACAGCCCAGTTGTAGTGGCCATTTGGGGAATGAACCAGTAGATGGAGGATATCTCTCCCTCTCTCTCTCTCAAATAAATAAGTAAATCTTTAAAATAAAGGAACTATTAAGAGCTTGGTGTTTACCACTTCTCTGGGCCAGGTATAGATCCACGTGCCTTCTGTGCAATGGACCCCTCACCATTCTCTGAATTAGGTACTTAAAGAAAATCTCCATCTCACAGAAAAGGAAGCCGAAGCTTGGGGGAGTGACCCATGGAGCATGAATCCAGGTGGTTCAGTTTCAGAGCTCTGGTGGTGGTGGTGGGGGGAGGCGGGGGGCGATGGCAGGTCTGTGCTGAGCCCCCTGCTCACTACTCCTGGAACGGAGGTGGTGGCAGCATTGCTGGGGGTGGGGCGGGGTACACAGCTGTCCTCTGAAATGGGTTGCTCTGCTAGATGCTGCTCTTTGTGCACCGAGGAAAGCTATTGTTCGGCTCCAGGGATCTGCCCTTTAAGGAGCTCTTCCTTTGTCCCTGGGGAGCCTGGAAGCCCTCTGTTCTCCCTGGAGCTCTTAGTCTCCAAGACAACCACAGGCTGGGAGGAGAAGGGAGAAGAGCCTTGGTCCCCAGGGAGACCACGGCCAGGTGCAAAGCTCTCCCCCACCCCCCCGCCCCAGCCTCCCCCACCACCAAGCTCCTGTGCTGCCTGGCTAGACTCACCTGGAGGGCTGCACAGGTGTCTGACCTTGCTCTCTAGCTGCAAGGTCACACAGAGAATCCTTGAGATGAGTGGGGTTCAAAATCCAGGCTCAGACTCTTTTTGGGAAGCAGGCAAGAGTTAATTCACAATAAATCAATTTGTCAAACAAGGAGTACACCATACCCCTTGTTCAATTGATACAATAACTCTCCATACATGATTGGACTCCAGCCTCTGTACCCGTGACCAGCTTGTCACACCTTCACCTGGGTAGAGGCGGTGCTAAATTTGGGGGCTGTTTTTCCACCCTAAGTCCCAACAGGTGCACACATCTGCAGCAACAGAGAAGGGGAATGCTTAAGGGAAAGCCTCCCTCTCTTAGAAATAGCAGCAGGAGTGAGTGAGTGCCAGTCACAGCTTCTCCCCAACAAAACCTTAGTGGGTTCAGCTTGATAATTTGATGAATCCAGGTAGGACCGCTTTGTTGTACGGTACAGAGTGGGCCAAGGCCCTTTCTGCTGGAATGCTGGCCCCTGTCTTCCTCTCTCTGAACCCCATGCTGGGGAAAGATGGAGAAGGATTTAGCCATCCAGAGCACGAGCCCCAAAGGCAGTGAACTCGCAGAAAGTAGTGCGGGGGTGCTGTCTCGGGACTCCAGCTTTCCCACCTGTAACAATGGGCTGTCCGTGAATGAGGATCTCTGGACATTCTAAGATTCTTTGGTTCCAGTTCCACGCTCCCAAACCCCTTCTACAGCATGCTAACAAGAAGGCAAGGGCAAAGTGAGACAGAGAAGAAGCTACTTCAAAACGTTCGTGCCAACTTGGAATGAAAGCTATGTTTATGTTGGTGCAAAATATTTTTTGAAAACCGTGCATGATTTTTTTTTTGTAATACACATGCTCCACAAATTTTTGAAGACTAAAAGTGCTGGGTAAAGCTGTGGTCTCTGTGTGAGTCCGGGTGTAGGACCGGGATTCGCTCACTTTCTCTGGAAAGCGCCAGAGAGTCAGTATACCATCTGGGTTCTGGGGGCCCCCAGTCTCTGCTACAAGCACTCCACCCTGCTGTTCCTGCAAAGGCAGCCGCAGACTGTAGCATGACGCATTGCCGCATCCCAGTAAAACTTTATTTACGGACACAAACAGCTAAATGCTATCCCATGTGAACATGCTCTGATGTGTTTTGTTTTCCTTTTGATTTTTTTTAATTTTATTTATTTATTTGAGAAGAAGAGACAGAGAGAAAAGTCTTCCATTTTCTGGTTCACTCCCCAATTGGCTGCAATGGCCAGAGCTGTGCCGATCCAAAGCCAGGAGCCGGGAGTTTCTTCCAGGTCTCCCACGTGGGTGCAGGAGCCCAGGGACTTGGGCCATCTTCTACTGCTTTCCCAGGCCATAGCAGGGAGCTGGATGGGAAGTGGAAAGTGGAGCTGCCGGGACTTGAACCAGTGCCCACATGGGATGCCAGCACCGCAGGCAGAGGATTAACCTACTGGACCATAGCGCCGGCCCCCTTTTGATATTTTTTGACCATGTAAGAAATCAAAGCTGTTTTCATTCACAGGCTGTACAAATACAGGGGCCACAGTTTGCTGATTCTTGGTGCAGAAGCCACCGGAATCTCAATCCTGGAAGACGAAGGCCATTGACCACGCAATGCCCCACCAAGAGGCAGGGCAGCCGGCAGAAAATGGCTACACTTGACTTGGTCCTGATGGCAAATTCTCTCTCCTGTGGTCACCCACTGGCCACCCACCTGCACCTTCAATAACCAGGAAGGGCCCCCTTGACCCTCCCCCTTCTGATTTTGCTCTTGTCGCAGCTCCCAGGAGTATTGTTTTCATGGGAATCCTTGGCCTTTTGAGTAATCTTTCAGGACGAAAGAATTAAAAGAAGCAGCAGCAGCAGCAGCTGGCATCGTGGCACAGCAGGTTAAACGGCCACCTGCGGCACCAGCATCCCAGAGCAGAGTGCCAGTTCAAGTCCTGCTCCTGCAAGATCCAGCTCCCTGCTAATGCACCTGGGAAAGCAGCAGAGGATGGCCCTAGCACCTGGGCCCCTGCACCCATGTGGGAGATGCAGATGGAGTTCCAGGCTCCTGGCTTCAGGAGCTGTTGCAGCCATGTAGGGACATGAACCAGGAGACGGAAGATCTCTCTCTCTCTCTTTCTCTCTCTCTCTCTCTGTCTCCTTCTCTCTCTCTCTGCCTATCAAATGAATCAATAAATCTTAAAAAAAAAAAAGAGTAAATGCCTCAAACCGCAGCCCCAGAACTGCCCCTGGACAAAGCTGCTTCCTGAATGCATTGGCGAGAGCACCCCCGAGGACAGCGAAGTCTTTTGCCGAAATTTCTGGAGGTGCTGACGTTTAGGAAGTCACTCCCCCTGCCCCCCGCACTTGATAGCCATCTTCCTGGAGTTTTACTTTCAGGGCCACGGAACCTTTATATGTGAGAAGTCAACCCAGGGCCCAGTGCGAAGCAGCATGAAAACAATTTTCATCCAAGTAACACATACCATGTGGCTCCAAATAATCAGCCATCGCCAGGCCGATTGTGAAAAATCATAACGCCTTATCCACCCCCTCGTCTCTCCTGGGCCTGCTGCCGGGAGGCAGGCACTTTTATGTAAGGAAACTTTTCGTTGAAATAACATCTACAAACCAGATCTTTGGTGACATGCTTGGTGAAGGGAGACTGTTTGTAGCCAGCACCGGGGAGGCCTCAGATGCCGCTGTACACCCCCAAAGTTAGCACCACCTCCACCCCAAGGCCAGGGAGAAACTCAAAGCCACCTCCTCAGGTGTTTCCGCCTCGAGTTCTGAGGGTCACCTCCATGTGCCTAATTCATGTAAGTCGTTCGGGGATGGACCCATTCTAGACTCTTTGGGCTTCTTCCTGTGATAAAATGTCTAGCTTCCTCGCCGCAGCCCCCACTTCTGATGTAGGCAGGCAGATAGGATAAACTGGATCAGGTTTGTGAGCTGGAAGGCCATGCCTTCACCACGCCCCCTGTGTGATCTCATACCCCTACCTGACCCCCACCTGTATGCCCACTTGCAATCATGTTGAGTAACAACTCCCCTTTGGAAGTGGACAAAAGGCCTTGTTGCCCCGTGCCTTTGGGCCACCCGCTCCATGCTTTCCTGCCTGCGTGCTTGTTCCTCGTGGCTCGCTTCTGGTCTGCTCACTTCCTGGTATGGACCTAACTTTGCTTCTAGACCTCTCTTTCTCTTATAAATAAAGCCCTCACTCTCCTGTGCATTGCTCTCACTGAATAAAAAGCTTAAAGACTTACCATGCTAGTCTTTTTGAATGCTGGTGTATTTGAGCCAGTATTCAGAATTCTTCTCTGAATATGTGGCAAGAGCCCACACGGCTTATTAATACTGGAAATTATTGATGAGCAGGACGGTATCACGTCTGTCCTGGCCTCTCCACGTCTAATCAAGTCACTATTTTCAGTTCCTCCATTCAGGGGGCGGCTATGCAGGTGGCATCGTATGCTGGAGCATCCAATCCACCTCTCCCCATTGTAGACAATGGTATGTGCCTACTTACTCCTTTCCGACCCCGCCTCCGCTCCAGGTGCTGTGTATCTTGACTTCTGTATTGTTAAGTCGGATAACACTTGTGTGTTGTTCTGTAACCGTCGTTAAGCTTGTGTGGTTTCTCTAGGGGTTGATCTAGAATTGAAATTCCCCATAAATAGTGTGTGGGAGATTTTTTATCACATTGTTCATTACAGAACCAAACAGCTTCTAGATGGCAGCTTCTAGATCCTTTGCCATGAGTTCAACAGCACACCTCCTGTGCCCTGCCGGGAAGAAGACCGAGTCGGCACCACCGTGTCTCTGATGGTCACACTTATTTTACGGTGAACGGAAGAGAGGGGAACCCATGAGGATCAAGGAGACAGCCGGTAACCTGTGATCTGGGAGATTCAGACAGAACTCACAGGTATTGTCCAGTTGGGTGGCAGTCCTGTGTTCTGCCGTGATTAGAGCAAGGCCTGTTGGGAGTGTGGCTTTCACTCCGAGAATCCTGCAGCCTGGTGCGCCCTGGGAGAGGCAGCAGCATCTACCTTGAAGATGATTTAGATACTTGGGAGGGTCCGGGTGTGGGTGGATGAAGGCAGTCATAAAGTCAGCGGCGGATTGATTGATGCCAGCAGTGTTAGGAGGAGGGCGGGGCTGAGTGACAGGCACGCTGGTGACACGGTTTCTTTTCTTTTCTTTTTTTTTTTTTTTTTTTTTTTTTTGGATTACCCTTTACCAGGTAGCGTGTAATTGCATTAGTAACCGGACTCCTCCGAGCAGCATCTGAAACAAAGGATTAGCGGGAAGGCAGATGGAAGAATGCTGACTTCACAATAACTCACCGCCTTCCTAACGTGATTATCTAAATAAATTCAAGCAATATTTTTTCAAGACGCTGGAGCCATCGTAAAGGCGTGAGGGGGCCCGGGGCCTCGGCCCGGCCCCTGCTTGGCGGGCAGTAACGGATCGCCGTGGGAGGGGAGGGCAGTCCCCAGGTGGCGAAATATCCAATATCTCTGAATTATCTGTCAGCACTCAGAAATTATTGAAGCCGGGCTGCTGTCTCCAGTGGGAAGCTAGAGCATCTCTGCTTCATTTGGCTAAACAATGGGGTTAAAATTGAAACAGCCCAGCTGCCACCGCCCCCAGACCATTCGGGTCACCTGCTGGCTAGCGGCTGGCTCAGGACACCCGCTACCTTCCCGACCCCTGGAGCCCAGGAGCCCGTGGAGCTGAATTTCAAGCTCCCATCTCAGTGCCAGCAGGGGATTCGCTAATCCGTCCTGTTTTGTTCTTCCTGCCCATATTCTCCTCCTGGACAAAGGCAGTGGGCAGGGTCCTCCCTCCTGGAGGAAGCGCGGGGAGCCACGACCTCGCTGTCCGCATTGTTCGCAGCGCAGCAGCCCAGGCGCTGCCTCCAAGGCCTTGGTCATTCCATTTCTGCTCTGCTGGGCTGAACAAGAAGCTGGAGGGATGGAGTCAGCCACTGCCCTCCCGGTGCCCCCAGCCCTCTGCTCAGTGGCTAGCGAGGAGAACCGAAATCTGAAAGCTTCGTTGTCACTCTCAAAAAAGAGATTCG